ACCCCGTGCCGCGTGGCTACACGCGGCACGGACTAGATAGTTCGGATTAGGCTTCTAATGGCTCATTTCCTGCCTAGGGGACGTAAGACTGGGCGGGTTAATTTCCAATCCTTCTGTTTATTCTTTTCCTAAGGAGGGCACAGTAGTTCTGATGGGGCTTGGAGAAGGGATGGAAGCCAGATCCAAGATCAATGAGCCCTGGGAAGTGGGCCCATTGAAAGGAGACTAGACCTGTGGATGCCTTGGGGGTCAGCAGCAAGAGCCTGCTTTGGGAAGCCCCCTCTTTGGAGATGAATGTGGCAGCATTGAGACACCACCCAGAAGCAGGCGCCACAGACACTAACTGCAGATTCACGGGATGACTCTCACAGATCTTGCACATGCATAAGATGATAGTTCTGCAGGAGGGGGGGCCAGTGATGTAGTGAGGGGGTCAGAGGGGTCAGTTGACCCTGGGCACCATGCTAGGGAGGCTCCAATTTAATCCCATTCTGCTCCCCCCACTATCCCTTCAGCTCACATGCTCCTACTCCACCTGCTACCGGCAGCTAGAACCTCCTCCCTGCCTCGCTGCTCCAAGCCCGACCCTCCTCCATCTCCACTGGCGGGTTAGTGCATGTGGGAGCCCGGCCTCAAACTGTAAGATGAGGTACAAGTTCCCCTCAGCTGTGCACCAGGTTCGGGGCTGTGCCACATGGTGGCAGCAGCGAGGGGGGTGGGGGGGGAGAGAGCACAAAATTTTCCTTTGCCCCCGGGCACATAACAACCTCGCTACACCTCTGGGTCCCACCTGTACTCAACAATGCAGCTCTCTACAGAGCTTAAATTGACATTTTAGACTAGCAAGTTATTTCTGCCATCTGGTGGAACTTGAACAAATTTCTCTTGATCCCACTGGTTATTCCATTTTCTAATATTCAGTACAATTTGTATAACCTGTTACTGATATTGTACAGCCTTTAATAAGTAATTTTCCTTTACAAAACAAGAAGCCGACAAAACAAGTGACCACTAGATTTGTGTTGACTAATTTCCAAGTGGATTAAGATATTTAGGATCTGAGTCCAGACTGTGCCCTTCTCTGTTCTGGAGCACCTCTGCATTACATTTATAAGGGTGTTTTGTACAAGGGAGAAATTGAATAAGGCCTCCAACCCTAGCACATTCAATAGCACTACTCTTATGTGGCTGTGCAGGCTCATGCCTGACTAAACATGGGAAATGTTGAAACCGACTGCACACACAAAAACTGGCAAATGCACAATGCAAGCAAATTAGAAAAAGAAAACTGCAAGCAAACTGGGGAAAAGTCTCTTCTCGCCCCCTCTCTCTTCCCCCCCCCCATTAATTTAAATTACTACAATCCCTAGAAGCGACGAGGAGTCCTGCGGCACCTTATAGACTAACTGAAGTGTAGGAGCATAAGCTTTCGTGGGCAAAGACCCACTTCGTCAGATGCAGAAGTGGGTCTTTGCCCACGAAAGCTTATGCTCCTACACTTCAGTTAGTCTATAAGGTGCCACAGGACTCCTCGTCGCTTTTGCAGATTCAGACTAACACGGCTACCCCTCTGATACTCTACAATCCCTAGGTGCTACTTTACATAGGCAGAATGTAATTATCCCCCTTGAAATTACAGTCTGAAGCCGAGCAAACTGCTGAAGGCTGGCAGGTAGCTGAGTTGAGTTTAAAAAACTGCACAGAGTTGGGGAATGGTGGCCTGTTTGGATGTAGGGCAGTGGTTCGGGCCAGGTGCCGTACAGCTGCCTGGGAAGTGGGGCATCCTCCTGAGGTGCCCAGCGATTTATCAGGGCCCAGAGGTTGGTTCGCCTGGGGGGGGGTCATGCAGCTGTCCCTTG